TGACATTCAACTCCAAAATATTCTTCATACAGTACTCAGATTGAAAGACAAAAAAATACTTTCAATTGGATTGGGAATTTGTGGGTTAACATTTTTGGCGGACTCATCAACAGCATTTTCAAAACCTCCAGTGAGACAAAAATTCATTGCCTGGGTCCCTGTTCCACTAGTGCCTCTCGCAGGAGTTTAATGTATAAGTATTAAGGTTTAGGCACAACCATACGATCTGTTGTCACTGATCATCTATCTTCCTACAAATGAAAACAAGATCTTTTCATTGTCAAGCTGCTAGTGTAATTTGAAAAGCCACTGGGAAGCGTATTAGTTAGTGTTCAGTATTGTATCTAGATTATAAATTTCTTCAGGTTTTTCCTTTGTCAGATTCACAGAGCACATTAATTGTTATTCCTTTTTGTTCCTTTTATATCCAATTATCAAAGTACTTAAGAAAATGTACTGATATTTTGACCCCATTAACAATTTGTACTTCCTTTCTTTTAATCTCAGAATCACCAATAACTCCCTTCTGATCAAGCAGGAATTGACTCAGCTGGATGCTGAAAGCTGAGGTAGGTGGACTGTCAAGTTCAAGTGAGTGTACTTAGAGTACTTAGAGAGTTTTTATTTTGTTCCTAATGTCTTTCTAACTTACTAAAAACAACACTGAAATCTTCTGTTTCAGAAATGAGGTAGCCTCCTAGATTACATCTGTCAAGAATATAGTACCATGGGGGATTGTTTTTTCCTCAGAAAGTTGTCCTAAGTTTCAAGGTGTTTCTGAGTGATTCAAGGATGTAATAGTGAATTTTTCCCTGGGTCTTTAATGTCTCAGAAGGAGGCATCTGATAATGTCCACATTTATGGTGATTTAATAATTGTGGTTCTAACATGTCTTCAAGTTTCCACAGTTAGCTATGGGCATTTGGCCCTTTATTCTTGAGAATTATAACCTATTACTCTATAGTATATTTATCATACAAAGCATTAGTCTCTCTGCCAATAAATAATAAACATGGCTGTGGCCATGAAATTATAGTGAGCCCAGGAGCTGCCTGTCCACCTTGTTACTATTAATATTATAATTGCCCCTGCAGCCATTCTGAAACTCAGCTCTAGACAGTCTCTTTATCTCCCTTAGACCAAGCATCCAACAAAAATCAGTGAGTGTAATATGAGAACTAATTATTAAGTCAGTGAAGGATCAAGTCTTCCTTCTATGGTATGTTCTTTTTCCACATTACCTGTTACAGACAACAAATTGCTCTTTTGTTTTAATAATATGACAAAAAGGTTGTCTTTTTAAGAGTTAATTAAATTGTTGTTTTTTTTTTTTTTTTGAGACAGAGTCTCGCTTTCTTGCCTAGGCTAGTGTGAGTGCCGTGGTGTCAGCCTAGCTCACAGCAACCTCAAACTCCTGGGCTCAAGCAATCCTACTGCCTCAGCCTCCCGAGTTGCTGGGACTACAGGCACGAGCCACCATGCCCGGCTAATTTTTATATATATATATATTAGTTGGCCAATTGATTTCTTTCTATTTTTATAGTAGAGACGGGGTCTCGCTCAGGCTGGTTTTGAACTCCTGACCTTGAGCAATCCGCCCGCCTCGGCCTCCCAGAGTGCTAGGATTACAAGCGTGAGCCACCGCACCCGGCCAATTAAATTGTTATGATGATGATTTTTCTAGTAGCCAAAACACTATTTGCCTTTCAAATTATAAACAAATATAGATGTAAAGGAAAGTAATACAGTTTGACTTCCTCTTCTTTTTAAGACAACACATTGGAACAGCAACAATCTTTAACCTAATATAAAAATTGTTTATGCCAGCAACAATGAAGTTTCCAGTGTTAGAAACTTCCTAAAGAGTTTTAAATACTTATATTGTTTATATATAATAAAAGTAGAGCTAATTAATTTATGCATTTCCACTTGTACGTCTCAACTTTGGGAATTTATTCTAACACCATTCAACACGAAATATCATCTAACCTAAGGCAGGTTCCTAAAGACCAATCATGAGGAACTGCATCTGAGAGGCCCATTACAATATTCCAAGTCATCTTTCATGATGTGCTCTCAGGACTAAGATTTAATGGAACCTTAATGGGATGTAAAAAAAAAATCAAAGTAAAAAATTATGCTCTCTGAAAATATGCTAAGAACTTGGCAATCTTTTTTCTCAAAGCTTTTACCTTAAAAATTTAAATAAAAAGTTTTAAATGTTAGTACAAGAGATGCCTATTATATGAAATTTATTATTTCCCCCAAATATTTTAATCATGTCATTTAAAATAAATTCAATGTAGACCATTAGAACTCTAAGTTGAAGACTGGGAGCAAGACATCCTCAGGATAGCCAGGCGCGGTGGCTCACACCTGTAATCCTAGCACTCTGGGAGGCCGAGGCGGGCGGATTGCTCGAGGTCAGGTGTTCGAAACCAGCCTGAACAAGAGCGAGACCCCGTCTCTACTAATATACATAGAAAAACTTAGCCGGGCATGGTGGTGCATGCCTGTAGTCCCAGCTACTCAGGAGGCTGAGGCAGGAGGATCACTTGAGCCCAGGAGTTTGAGGTTGCTGTGAGCTAGGCTGAACGCCACGGCACTCACTCTAGCCTGGGCAACAAAGTGAGACTCTGTCTAAAAAAAAAGACATCCTCAGGATACACAAAATTGGGTGGGATCCATTCTGTGAAACTATAGAGACCAGTAAATAGTACAGCTAAGCAACCTGTGGAACTAAGCACAGATGTTAATGGACTATTCAGGAGGTTTTTGAAAGATACAAGGAAGTAAAGGAAAAATGAAGGAATGATGCAGATAAAGATAGCATAAAAAGAGTAAGAAAAAACATGCATATGAAAGAACATGAAAATGTGCCACCAGGGACTCCTCAGAGCCACCCACACTCTGAGGGTTGCCTACCCCTAATCTCATACCACATTTTCTATTCGGTTTTCCATTGATTTAACATCAAAAGTCATCTGGACATAGGACAGTTTAGAGTAATATTGGTATAAATGAAAGTATTCTTAAATGCAGCTAAGAGGACTAGAATTATCAGAAGTAAACATGTTTACTTTATAACCAAGTGTACATTTAAAAGTGTGGGAAATTGAAGCTAGCAGTATTAAAGGTTTCTCCACACTTGGGGAGAACCTGTGGGATTACAAACATGTATAAACAGATAATATGGATCATGAAGTATAAATGAGTCTTGTCTCTATTTACTTATAGAATTTGAAGCTTAATACAAGAACTATGTAATTTTCAATTGAAATGACAAGTCTTGTAGCAGGGCTATAAAGTAAACATTGCAACTATGATAAAAGAAATTAACAGATTTTGAGTAAGGTATCAACAATCTGGGTAGTATATTACTAATATAACTTAATGAGTGGATCCTAACAATATCCGTTGCAATAAAATTCAACCAAAACATTTCTGGAAGCTTCTTGGGCATCTGTTAAAATAGTATCTGATCCAGAGTTTCTATAAAGAGGAATGATTGCTCCCTTTCTTATGTTATTGTTGGTCTCAAATGTCAGAATGTTTTGAATTTGAGAATTTTCTGAGTTCTAACCCTGTATTCTTTTCCTCTCAGAAAAGTATCTGGATTGGACAAAAAAATTTAGGCTTATCAGGTCACTTTATTACAAAAGTAACATTCTTTTCAGAAATTAGAAAGGGTTTACTTTAATTAAAGTAATAGTTTTTGACTTAAAAACAAATTTTTATAAATATTAAAATATTCACTTTCTTGATTTGTATTATATTTTTAGAACTTTTCCTACATGTTACTAAATATATATTTTATGGAATTTAGCATCTTACCTTTATACTTTTTCTTTTTAACTTTATATTAATATAAGTACAGCAGAGTACTCTCCATAAGAGTCCATTATAGTGGAGCTTTTTCGGTATTATAGATCCAGTTTGATTCATTCCACTAAACTGAAAACTATGTGTGTGTAATATTATATACACAAACACAATATTCTGAGTTCTAAGTTTTATTATAAATATTTAAGTCACTTTGCTTTTTTTTTTTTTTTTGAGACAGATCTTGCTCTGTCACACGTAGAGTGCAGTAGCATCCTTGTAGCTCATTTCAACCTCAAACTCCTGGCCTCAAGTGATCCTCCTGCCTCAGCCTCCCAAGTAGCTGGGACTATAGGCACGTTCCACTACACCTGGCCAATTTTTTCTATTTTTGGTAGAGATGGAGTCTCGCTCTTGCTCAGACTAGTCTCAAAATCCTGACCTCAAGCAATCCTCCCACCTCAGCCTCCCAGAGTGCTAGGATTATAGGCATGATCTACCGCATGCAGCCCACTTTACTATTTTAATGTGGAAACTAACCAAGCAAGCAAGACAAGTCTTTGGGTTCCAGATTATTGCCTTTTTTTTTTCCTTTCTAAAATTAGCCAAATTTTGAAAAGAAAAACATTTTGGAGGTCTTTACAGAGTAAATTTTCCATTTTTGAAATACCTTTTCTGTAAAATTTGGAGGGTTATCTTTAGGAGTCATGCTAAAACTATAAACAAATATTAACATTTATAATGATATGTTTGATGATTGCTTTTAGCTGTATTTTTTTTAACTTCTCAAAAGAACTTATTATAACAAGGAAGTAATATTGTACATAACTGAACATTAATGAACAATTTGTTAACATAATACATTTGTCGTGTCTAAATCATTTTCTAAAAGCTTAAATATGAACATGAAAGGGTAGTATGGTCAAAATGTAGATTTTTTTTTCCTGCAATGCAACCTTCCACAGATAAATTACCTAAGTCCCCTTATGAAATAGGGAACTATTAGAAGAAGTAAGTTGCAACTGTGTATGGCATAGTAAGTTACTGAATGTCTTCACAATCAAAAGTATTAATTTTTAAAGGTCTAAAATACTAAAGTAAAATTTCACAGATATAGGAAACTGTTTCTGTTTTTGTAAACAAGTATAGGTCATGGCATGACTTTGCTTTGAATTTTAGGTCCTCAAACTAATAGCTTTCTTATGATTATATGTAAATGGAAAAAAATAATGGGTGTGTTAATGGGGAGCATACTAAGATAAATTCATATATGCAAAGTTTTACCAGAAAGTTTTGGAAATGTAGGACTTGGTTCTTTGTATAAGTACTTTAACCTTTTAAGACTAATAAATTTCATAAACCAATTTAAGTGATTGTTTCTATCAGAAATAGATATTTTCTTCAGGAATATAAACAGTTTTACCCCTTTCCTCAACTTTATACCTGTAGTTGCCACTTGATAACATGCCCAATAAGACTTTGTTTAAATATCAGGTCCTAGTGCTAACAATTCCAGAAGTCAGAAAAATTCTAAGTTAAAATTTCAAGAATGTCTTTGATGTATTCTATTTTACTTTATTGTTACAATTTAAACAAATTCAGAAATTTGGGGTGCTTTTTGGCTACTTAAGTATAATAAAACACACTGCAAATGCAAGGGGAACAATGTCATAAACTTAAATAGAAGAAATGCCTGATTTCTGAACAGCTCTGCCCTTGGGAACAGGATCCTCTTCATCTCACATATTGATTCTAAACACACTGTTAGCATTTGTTCCCAGAAGTCCCCTCGACATCAGAGCAAGTCAGAATACCTTAATTTCATAGCTTATTTAACAGCAGGCAAGCTACTTTAACATAGACTTGAGGTTTAGGTAGATTTGATATTATTTAGAATCCAGGCTTAAATTTGCAAAATTTTTTTCCCAAAGAGCAGAAGAAATTAAAACAGAGGTACCAAAACTAAAGATACACCATGTGAGACAACAAACAAAATATTTCCAGTCCTAACCAAACTGCAACCCTTTCAGTATAGCTTGAGGTATTTTTAAATATTTATATAAGCTAAATAGCATTCACAGTTTCCAAAGTTGCTTTTTACTGAGATAACTTCAAATTTTCATACTATTCGACTTTCAAACATGTTTTCATGTGCCAGAGTCTCTGCTCTCAGACTTATGGAAATACCAGACAGCTAAGAAGTGGCAGAAAATGGTTCTTGTAGTAATAAGGGTTCTATTTCTCAATTACTGTGCTATTCCTAGCATGTGATTAAAAAAATAAGAAATTTGCAATTCATATAAAAGGAAAACTTGCTTAAAATTCTAAAGCAAGTCCAGTCTGGTAGAGGTATATAAAACATTAAATAATAGAATCAGATTCTTTCTTGAAGATTCCAGACGAGCTTGATAGCAGAGAGTTCTGGTTTCCCAACATTTTCTCCATCTTTTCTCCTCCAGTGGTCTTACTGATCTGTCTTTGCTTCTTACTGTGGATCCATGGAATAAAACAAAGCACAACACCTCCAATAAGGGGAGGGATCCCAGCGAGGTAGAATGACACATCATAGGAGCCCAGCTTGTCACGAAGTAACCCTGAGAAGGGAAAAAGCTGTCACCAAGAGAGAACAAGTGTGGCTCTTACCAGTCTCAGATCAGTTACACTGATGGCCTAGTTCCAGCCTAATTTTACTTCAGACATCTCAAGTATCAGATGTTTTTTAGGAAATGGATCTGAAATATAAACCTTTTCTGATATGAGGGAGGAAAAGATCTCATATCTTTAATCTTGTTACAAAGTACAGGCCTTTAGGTTTTCATACCAAGGTATTACTTTAAAAGAATATTTGCAACCAAGCTTTGCCTTTCTCAAACCCCCTAGAGGCCAGTTGGGGCATTCTGAAATAAGGTGTAAGGATCCTTAATTCAGCTGAGGGTGGACGGACCATCTAGTTGAAATTTCTTTCATGCACGCATAACTCCAAATGTGTCTACCTTTCAAACTGTTCTTGGGCCTAATTGTTTGCTTATGAAATAATGTGAAACTATTTTAAATTACAATCCAAAATCGTAAAAAATTATAAATCTAAGAGGATGAAAAAGTTAGGTGGTTAAATACATTAAACAACATGAACACTAACATTAAAGTGTTAAACATTAAAACAGCCGGGCGTGGTGGCTCATGCCTGTAATCCTAGCACTTTGGGAGGCCGAGGCAGGCGGATTGCTCAAGGTCAGGAGTTCGAAACCAGCCTGAGCGAGACCCCGTCTCTACCAAAAATAGAAATAAATTAATTGACCAACTAAAAATATATATACAAAAAAAATTAACCGGGCATGGTGGCGCATGCCTGTAGTCCCAGCTACTCGGGAGGCTGAGGCAGTAGGATCACTGAGCCCCGGAGATTGAGGTTGCTGTGAGCCAGGCTGACGCCACGGCACTCACTCTAGCCTGGGCAACAAAGTGAGACTCTGTCTCAAAAAAAAAACAAAAAACAAAAAAAACATTAAAACATAACATAACAGGCCACGCAGAGTGGCTCACACCTGTAATCCCAGATCTCTGGGAGGCCAAGGCAGGAGGATTGCCTGAGGTCAGGAGTTCAAGACCAGCCTGAGCAACACTGAGACTCTGTCTCTGTGAAAAATAGAAAAATTAGCTGGGTGTGGTGGCATGCTCCTGTAGTCCCAGCTACTCAAGAGGCTGAGGCAGGAGGATCACTGGAGCCTAGGAGTTTGAGATGACAGTGAGCTATGATCACACCACTGCACTTTAGCCAGGGCAACAGAACAAGGCTCTGTCTCAAAACAAAACAAAAAAAACACCCCCTAAACAAAAAACATAACATTAAAACTTAACAGAATGTTAAAATATAAAGATATATCTGTGGCACTAATTCTAAAAACTATTATTCAGAGTACTCTTTATTTCTAATTTCTTGAACAAATACCAGGACTCATTTGGTGTTTATTTTTGTTTGTTTGGAGACAGAGTCTTGCTCTGTCACCCTGGCTAGAATGTAGCAGCGTCGTCATAGCAATCCTCCTGCCTCAGCCTCCTGAGGAGCTGGGACTACAGGAGAGTGCCACCATGCCCAGCTATTTTTGTATTTTTTGTAGACAGGGTCTTACTATTGCTCAGGCTGGTCTCAAACTGCTGACCTCAGGCCATCCTCCTGCCTTGGGCTCCTAGTGTACTAGGATTACAGGCATGAGCCACAGTACCCAGCTAACTCAGGGTTTTAAAAATTATCTAAGTATTTTTAAACTTTTGTAACTTTTCCTATAAAACTTCAGTTATCAGAAATGTCTAGGGAACATACTGTGCTGAATATCCATGTGACTTTGTTAAATAGCTGAGGATTTGTCTAGGTAAGTACCAACACACAAAAATGTGTACATTCATTCTGTATACAAACATAAAATATACAATACCTGTAAATATATAATTTTTCTATTTTTTGAATCAGACTATTCCATATATAACTTAACCTTTCATTCTTATGAACATTAATGATGTTTTGCTATAATACTATAATACACCCAGAACCTATTGGTCAGCTGAGGCTTTCTGCTTTTGGTTCCTGTGTGGTGTTATTCTTCAGTTTTGGGAGTTTCCTTTACCTCCCTTATTCTTGGTCTGTTAATGGGCAGCAAACACCATTACTGCTAAAGTGCTAGTTATAATCTGCTGTGAACTTGGAAAATGTAAAACTAAGCCTGTAGGATATGAAAAGAGAGTGAACAGTATATTACCTAGGGGAGAGAAGAAGGAGTGGAGGGTTCTCCCACAGGGAGAAAAGTGTTAACAGATAAGGCACACATACAAGCAAAAGACCAGTAATTGATAAATTATAATATGTCTTACCTATAAGTGCTATTTAGGGACCTGAAGTAGAAAATGCTATGAATTAATAATAGAGTGACTGAGAAATCATAGTATTTACCTGCAATGGGTGGGCCCACAGTCATGGGAACAGACATGAATCCGAGCAGAAATCCAATTGCTTGGGAGACATCCTGGGCACCAACTAACTCAAAGGCTATGGGGGCCATAATACAAATGAAGCATCCATCAAAGAGACCCATGATGAGACAGACAGCAATGAGGGCCCCAAAGACGCTACACAGGGGAATCATCATGGACATTAGACCGATGAAGAAGAAGGAGAGTACCTAGGACAGACACCACAATGTCAATTCTGTTCTCAGCAAAAGGGAATTTAGGACTACTGAGCAGTGTGCTGAAGATTTCCAAGTGATTACTGGGTATCCCCTTTGCCCCCTGCCACTGCCTAGTTCACCTTGATTTTATACACATAAGCAACTCCCATGATCATCTCCCCCAAGTTCCCCTAGCACTTTCTCAACATTTCCATTAAGTCATTAAGAAGAAAATAACTGTTTTTATATATTTACTTTCCCTTCCAGCCTGCAAACTCTTTGAAGTCAGAATCTGTACACGATTCATCTTGGGACTAGATACTATGAGGTTTAAGGATCTTGCACCTGGTCAATGCTCAATCAACTCAAATTCATTCATCAAACACTTGATTGTTTTTTCACCTTTGAAACTATATACACCTCATTAGCAAATGTTACAGATGTATTTCATATTTAAGTACCCCAGAATTAGGCTCAGAATATTTATTTTGAGCCACTGAACACCTTCATTTCAGTGTTAGAGAAGTTAATAGAATCAGACACCTGATTTTGCCTCCCATATGGTAGGCATCGTGCCATGTGCTAGAGATTTCAACAATGTGTAAGACTTGGCTCCTACCCTTGGGTTATAGAGAAATGGGCATTTAAATAAGTAAGTGCAAATGAAGTGTTCTATATGCTGCCACAGTTATATATTCAAAATATATTTGGTACAAAAAAGGAGGAAACAGATAATTCAGTAACTTTTTAAAGGCACAAAACTATTTAAAACTGGATAATTCACCAGTGAGCAGAAAACAAAGTCTTAAAAAGCATCACACTTTTAAAAAAAAGTGTGCATACAATAGCAACTATCACTTGTTTCTTTCTTCTTCTTTTTTTTTTTTTTTAGACAGAGTCTCACTCAGTTGCCTCGGCTAGAGTGCCATGGCATCAGCCTAGCTCACGGCAACCTCAAACTCCTGGGCTCAAGCAATCCTCCTGCCTCAGCCTCCCAAGTAGCTGGGACTACAGGCATGCGCCATCATGACTGGCATATATATGTATTTTTTTTTTAGTTGTCCAACTAATTTCTTTCTATTTTTTTAGTAGAGATGGGGTCTCACTCTCGCTCAGGCTGGTCTTGAACTCCTGAGCTCAAATGATCTGCCTGCCTCAGCCAGAATGCTAGGATTACAGGCGTGAGCCACCACGCCCAGCCTCTGATTTTTATTTTCTAATTAAATATCCTTTTCTCCAACCCAACTTCCATGAAAGCATAAACATAATTTGTTAGCAGCAGTAATTATTGGGCTTACAGCCTTGTAGGTTGGAAAGAACTAGGGTTCAGAGGAACAAGACCAGGTTCTAGCTCTTTGTAACCTTGAGCAAGACTTCCTGATGCTTTCCATCTATCAAGACAAAAAGAGATGTAAAGAGAAATCAAAATGTAGAAAGGGGTTTAAAATTAACAAATAGGTAAGGATTTAAGTAGTTATTTTTATTGAAAAGGTAACCAGACAAACCTTAATATTCCTAATAACAGATACATTTTTGTTCTATCTACAAACACAAAAGGAGATAACATAGGAAGTTATTAAAATCTTAGAAACATATCTATAATGACAAATTCCAAAGAATCTAGAATAAAACTTTAGGACACTACAAGGCCTGATTCAATGGATTTAATTGGTAAATCCACAGACCAAACATTCTCAACCACACCATTGTAATTATACTAGGTTAGCTTTCAAGAATACATTTTTTTCCTTTTAATGTGTTTCATGTTCTTTTCCTATTTTGTTCAGTACGAATCTCTTTCAAGATAAGAAAACCAGCTCTGTAGAATTTTATATTTAGTGAATGTTGGAAGCCTAATGCAGTAGTTGGCACACAGTCAATTTTGCTTTCATTATGAATGCTTTCTTGGAACAATTTATATAACATGAGTCTAGGCATTTTATGTTTGGTTGTTTTCCTGATTTCTCTATCCATCTTTGGCCTCTTCAAATTTTTGATCTTTGGTCAGTTTTGTAAAAACTTATCCACTTAAGAGTTTCAAATTTATGACTATATATTTTAAGCATATTATTTCTTAATACTTTACCTGTCTGCAAGTTCTCTTTTTCTCAATTCAAACTATACTAATTTAATTTTTTTCAATTATTTGACAATGATTTATTAATTTAGTTATTTAACAGAGAAATTTTTCGTTTTCCTTTAAGACTCGAGTTTATAGATATTTACACATTTATTTGTAAAGCATTTGTCAGAAAAATAACTCATTGCTTCTACCTTATTTGTAGCTATACTAGTGATGCTCTTTCCCAGCAGATGTTTCCACCCAAAACGTAGCTAAATTAGAAGGTAAGTAGGCCAAGCTGATGAGAACACACCTGTTCCTCATACACAGGGACACCCAAGTCACCAGCAACACATGCCAAGGTTTAGCAAACTGTACATATAAGAGGTTCAGTACTTCCTGATCACTTTCCAAAATAAATATTGATCTGTACATACTCGGACCCAGTTTAAAGGATGAATAAACTTAGTATTATATACAATCTTTTTTTTTTTCTTTCAAACACAGCAGCTCTGGTTAGATTCAGAGGCTCCTAATTTTCTTCTAGGCTCTGGCACTAACATTAGACAATGATAGTTTAGATGTCTACATTGCTTTTGTTTTCTTAAAACCATCCAAGGAAGTATCTTTTGTCACAGCACCACGGGCTCTAAAAGAATTAACACCCTGTGAGTTAGTTTGTGTACCTAAGGATAAAAATTTCTTGTGCTATTACCTTTCCCATTTCTTTGTTATCACAAAGAAAACATTCTGGGAGAAATGTCAGGTTAAGTTTTGCTCAGGAATCTTAAGTGTAGCTCAAGAGGAAAAATGAGCTGCACCTGAATAAGCAAGCAGAAGGCATTTTTGGAGACAGACACTTAATTCGTCACAGTTAGATTCAAGTGTTGATCCTATAAGTTTATTCAATATCAACTTTCTAGACTTTCAGAGCCTCTGGCTAGACACTCAGGACAGAAAACAGTTGGCAGCAGCGTTCTGCTGGTCCTTCACAAACTATAGAGAAATGTTCAGGCCACACAGCCAGATGTAGCTGGTGTCTTCTGAAGTACTCAGAGATCATAATACTTTCTAAGTGTTTCACAAGGGGTCTGTTCAACCTTTTCCACGGCACATGACTAGTATCCTTTCTACCTGATGGAGGAACTGTCACTTGATGTATTCACGCCCAGTGCCAGTCTAGATGAGATTATGGCAGGGCACAGTGGCTTGAGCCTATAATCCCAGCTACTTGGGAGGCTGAAGCAAGAATATCGCTTGAGGCCAGAGGTTCCATACCAGCCTAGGCAACACAGTGAGATTCCCCTATCTCAAAAAAAACAAAAAAGAAAAAAAGAAAGAAAAAAAGATAAGACTATGAGTATGGATCTCTGCTTCTTTATTTAGGCTGAAGAATTATTAAGTACCTGGATACTATTTTGTAAATATCTTAGGTTTGATAAAGTATATACTCTCATTCCAAGACATCTTCAGGAAAATTTAAAATGCTAAAATGGAATGAAAAAAAAAAAAATAGGCAACACTGATCAGTTTATTCTACCTGAACTGGAAGAGGAAGATTACACAGGAAGGTGGATGTGAAAGTCATTAATTTTTCTAAGTTACGAAAGTAACTCATGAATACGTTCTTTAAAAAATTCAACCTTAGAGAAATGTACACAGTAATGTATGAAAGTCTTGCTTCAACCCCCTCCCACCCTCAACTCATGCCCACCTCTTCTTCAGGAATAACCATTTGTTTGTTTTGCATCTTTGCAGACCATTCCTACGCACACACGTATGCTGTTTGGGTTGTCTGCTTTGTATACGTGGACATGATGTCTGCTTCAACATGTCCACATCACAGAGATATATGACACAATGGAAAAGCGACTTAAATCCAAAGTTTTCATTTCTTTCATGCAAAGTTATAACTTTCAAACCTTTGAAACATTCTCACCCTTCTAAAACACTTACATATTAATAAATCTGTAGTAATTTAATGGTGAAAGACGCGCCTGTGAGGTTAGAGAAAATGTTAAGATGATACCAGGGCACATGCAGCCTCTCCTCTCCCAATAAAGTATATACCCTAGGAACTTTTGCAAAGATTTTCTTTAACCATTGTTATTCTATATAATACAATTATCTATAAGCAAAGACTCTAGGGCGCAGGCATGGTGGCTAACACCTCTAATCCCAGTACTGTGGGAGACCGAGGCAGCAGGATTGCTTGAGGCCAAGAGTTGGATACTAGCCTGGGCAACATAGTGAGACCCTGTCTCTACAAAAAAAATTTTTTTTTAAATTATAAACAAAGACTCTAATTCAGGATAACTAGATCTCCTTTCCTGAGACCTATTCCAAATCAGGATTGGCCATCAGTATTTAACAGAATATTAAAAGATAATAAAGGAAGGATTTATTAATCATCCAGTCTGGACCAAGTACTTTATATAAGCTGTCATCAAGAATCCTCAGCACAGCCTGCACGGTGGCTCACGCCTGTAATACCAGCACTCTGGGAGGCCAAGGCAGGTGGATCATTTGAGACCAGCTTGGGCAAGAGTAAGACCCCCGTTTCTACCAAAAGTAGAAAAAATTAGCCAGACATGGTGGCACATGCCTGCAGTCCCAGCTACTCGGGAGGCTGAGACAGAAGGCTCGCTCGAGCCCAGGAGTTTGAGGTTGCTGTGAGCTAGGCTGACGCCACGGCACCTGAGCCCGGGTAACACAGTGAGACTCTGTCTCCAAAAACAAATAATAAAAAAATAAAAAGAATTCTCACCACAGCCTGATGTGGGTTTTGAAGACAAGTTGGTGGTAGAACTGGGGTGAATTGGTGTTCCACTCCATAGCCTGTGCTCTTCAACTCTGCAGCCTTCCAAACTGGGGATGACTGTGATCCGAAACTAGATCATGTGGGAGAGTTGTTTAAAGTGTCTATGTCACTGGTGTTCTAGGCCTGGCTGCTACTCAGAACTGGCTTCAAGGAGACAAGGAGGGAAGAGAACTGTCACAGCCCCATGAGGTTGGGCCATAATAGACAAAAGCAGGGAGTGGTTACATCTGAGATAACACACTACCAATGAAAGGGAAGAAGGGAAGGTAAGCAGAACATTCTAACCCTTAAAGGCTGGGCCAAAAGGCAGACAGCCAGAGAGGCAGAGAGGGAGAAAGAGGAAAGACAAACAGGCAGAGCTAGAGTCAGTTGTAGCAGAGAAGAAAGAGCCAAGAATCAAAAACCACACTGAGTATCTGGGAAGTTGGGGCAGGGAAGCCAGGAAAAAGGAGAGGCAGAGGGGAGTGACTATGGGAGTGAGTCCAGCACCCTGCGTGGGTTGGGCCTGTGTGGTCGGTCTCCTGTGCCACTGTGTTCTCAAGGTGGAGTCTGTCCAGGGCTCCCAGCAGTCACAGGACACACTGAAGACTTTCTTACTCCTTCACAGGCCTGTCTGAATTGCAGCCATCACACCTGTGACTCAGCATGTCCTGCTGGGTGCCACAACACTGCTCTAAATTTAGATGAAAAAAAGTAGATAAGACCTAAAAGAAGCCAGGCTGTGGCTACCTTTGATCTAAAATGAAATATCTGACCCACAATACTGACTTTTAACTTACTGCTTTGTAACTACAGACCAACATGGGGCAAGTTAGGAAAGGCCATATTTTCTTCTGTAAATTACTTGAAATACTCAAGTATTAAAATGTTCTCCCAAAATGTTGCAAATGACCTCTTTGCCCCATTTGTAGGGGGAAAACTTTCAAAAGTTGTTTTGAAGTAAAACATTGCCGTATAAAGTATATCATGACTTCATCCATTATAGCATCTTAGTCCAGGCCTCCATCACCTGCACCACTGTACTGTCTCCCAACTGGTCTCCCTCCCCTGTTGTACTCTTGCTTCCCTCCCTATAGTCCATCTTCCACACAGAGCAATCACAGTGACCTTAAAATGCAAAATCAGACCAACATTCTCCACTACACTTAAAGCAAAATCTCTTCATCTTGGCTTTCAAGGCCCTGTATAATCTGGCCCCTCCTAGCTCTCCCCTACAGTCTCTTCCCGTGTCACTCTCCCTGTCTTCTTGAGTTCCCAGACACAGCCAGCTTTTTCCTCCCTCAGTCTTGCTTTAGGAACTCAGGGACCATGTCTGTCTGTCTTGTTGGTACCTGGCGGGTCTAAGCTGGTGCTTGGGGCAGAGGAGGTCCTCATAATTTTTTGAATGAATAAAAAAGAAGCTGACAATATGTAATGCAACAAATGTGCATCAGAGGGCTCCCTTGGCACTTGAGAACAAGACTATAAATGTTCAGCTAAATGTTAGATAAGGATATCTGCAGTGATGTATTGTTAAAGGAGGGAATGATCATAATACAATAAATACATTTCAAAAGTAGCACACTACCAACTGTCTACACTTCCTTCTAGCTGTGTGAACAGACACTTCCCTGTGACTGTCTGCCTGGACCTATATACACACAGATACCCACAGTAAGGTAGCTTCTCTGTTCCTCAGCATTTGCGTCTATAAGGAGAAACAGTCAGGTGTGGTTGCTCACACCTGTAATCCTATTGGGAGGCCAAGGCAGGAAGATCACTTGAGGCCAGGAGCTCAAGACCAGCCTGAACAACATAGCAAGACCCTATTTTTATAAAAGATTAAAAAATCGGGCCGGGCACGGTGGCTCACGCCTGTAATGCTAGCACTCTGGGAGGCCGAGGCGGGCGGATTGCTCAAGGTCAGGTGTTCGAAACCAGCCTGGGCAAGAGCGAGACCCCGTCTCTAAATAGAAAGAAATTAATTGGCCAACTAATATACATAGAAAAAATTAGCCGGGCGTGGTGGCGCATGCCTGTAGTCCCAGCTACTCGGGAGGCTGAGGCAGGAGGACTGCTTGAGCCAGGAGTTTGAGGTTGCTGTGAGCTAGGCTGACGCCATGGCACTCACTCTAGCCTGGGCAACAAAGTGAGACAAAAAAAAAAAAAAAAATCAGCTGGGCATGGTGGCACGTGCCTGTAGTCCTAACTACTCAGGAGGCTTAGGTGGGTGGATCAGTTGAGTCCAGGAGTTTATGAATGCAATGAGCTATAATTGTGCCACTGTACTCCAGCCTAGGTGACAAAGTGAGAACCTGTCTCTAAAAAGAAAAAGAAAAAATTATAAGTAGAAATAATGATGGTACCTCCCTTAAAGGGCTGGGGGAATCATTTTCCTGTGTTAAAATTTCATCTTTTTCAGGACCCTGTTCAAATACTGCCACTCCTCTGTAAGAGGTAGACATGCTTAATCCCTCAATCTTTAATACCCCCTGTGGCTCTCCTTTACCTCCCTTCCACAGCCTTTGTCCAACCTTTTGGACAAAGTTTCTATATTTCCATTTGTTCAGCTGATCATGATCAGTCTTTTGCACCTGCCACTTCACTGAAACCATTCTCTGTAAGATCCCTAACGGCCTCCCTGTTGCTAAATCCAATGGAAAACTTTTAGTCTCTCTCTCACTAGCTACTGACACTGCTGACCACTCCTGCCCCTAGAAACATTCTAGTCCCTCTTTTTTTCTTACCAACCTGGCTACTCCCTTCAGTCTCCCTTGGAAGCCCTTGTCCCACAGGTCTCTTATCCAGACTCTCCCATGAGCTCCAAACTCAACTTGGCTTTCCCACAGACATCACAAACTTAACATGGCAAAAATAAACTCATCATCCTATGTGGATTTACTGGATTACTAATCCTGATAAGATGGGAAAACCATCTACTCTGTTAACCAAACCACAAATCTCAGATCTAGCTCAAGTGGCTCCATCAGATTCTCATCTTCTGTATCCCTTGTTTACTCTATTTGCTCCCTTGGTTCTTCCTGCCTTAACTACTTCAATAGTCTCCAACTAGTCCCTGTGCCTCCACTCTTTTTTAAATTATAGCTTTATTGGCCGGGCGCAGTGGCTCATGCCTATAATCCTAGCACTCTGGGAGGCTGAGGCGGGAGGATTGCTCAAGGTAAGGAGTTCGAAACCAGCCTGAACAAAAGCGAGACCAGGTCTCTACTAGAGAATAGAAAGAAATTAATTGGCCAACTAAAATTATAGAAAAAAAGTTAGCCAATGTACCCTTTGTAATGGAAAGGATAAAGTAAAAAAAAATAAAAATTAAAAAAAAAAGAAAGAAAAAATTAGCTGGGCATGGTGGTGCATGCCTGTAGTCTCAGCTACTCGGGAGGCTGAGGCAGAAGGATCGCTTAAGCCCAGGAGTTTGAGCCCAGGAGTTGCTGTGAGCTAGGCTGACTCCACGGCACTGTAGCCTGGGCAACAGGGTGAGACTCTGTCCCAAAAATAAATAAAGTGTACAATTCAGTGGGTTTTAGTACATTCGTTACATTGTGCAACCATCACCTCTATCTAATCTTAGAACATTTTCCTCACCCCACAAAGAAACCCCATACCCAGTAGCAGTTACTCCCCATTCCTTCCTTCCCCCAGCCCCTGAGCATCACTAATCTACCTTTTCCTCCATGGCTCTGCCTATTCTGGACATTTCATGTAAATGGAATCATTTAATATGTGGCATTTTGTAACTATCTCAACTCTTGTCCCCTCCTCCACTCCATTCCACCCTTAACAGTTTCCAGATTGATCTTTATACAACATAACTCATGTTAATCCCTGGCTTAAAATCCTTTAATGGCTCCTGGTAGATGTCAGGATAGAGTTCATCCTCTTTTATATATGTGAAGGCCCTTGCCAACCTGCTTCCTGCCTGTACCCACAACCAATCCATCTATTATTCTCCCTTGATTTCACTCAAACATTTCCCAGATGTAACATCCCATGACGACACTACCATGTCTTTGCCCGTGTGGTTTCCTCTGCTTGGATTATCTTTCTCCATCTTCCTGATCTACATATCTAGTCCTCACCTCTTAACACTGCTCAGACCTCACTAGTGATTCACAAGCTGGGTGCCTCTGTTTCCATGGCACCACCTAGCATACTCATTATTTCACTGTGCTGCAACACTGCTTTATATTTGTCTCCTAAGAGATTATTAGCTAGTAACTGAGGGCACAGACCATGTTTCTTTAAATCTGCAGCATTGAGCACAGTATCTGGCATGAAGGAGTCACTTAAACACCTGTTCTGTTGAATAAGTGTCAGTAATGATCTTAGAATTAGCATATTTTTACACACACCTCAAACACCCAGGGGGCAATTTTCAATAAAGAAGCTGAAAAGTTACACATGCACCCAAATTTCATAAGGCATTGCAAAAGGCACAGGATCTGCACATGACTATGAGAATTATGCCAAAAAACATTCTTAGAAAAAATAATGGGCAAAAACCATTTTGGTTTGGTGGAGTTTCACAATAAAACAAAGAAGATTGTTGTTTCACTGCCAATTTCTCATGTTTAAAACCTAAACTCATACTGATTTTGTCCTTGAAAAACTGCCTGTAGAAGCTATGTTCTAGAAAATGTTTCTTATTTTTATAAAAAAATTTAAGCATATAAGTATATTTAATGAGCCATCAGGTAATAAGAACAATCTTGTTAGGGAAGAGGTATAAAAAAGTACCTGCGTCCATTGTGAGGAATCATGGTATAAATAAAAAATAAATAAATAAATAAATAAAAGTACCTGCAGATAAACCTTCTTCACACCAGGTACATAATCTGCAATCCGGCCAAAGAGTAGTCGTCCAACTCCTGAAGTGATGCCAATACACATGAGAACCACCTCTTTATTTTTTTCATCTTGAAATCTTTCCTCCACATGTTTCATCTGTAGACCAAAAAGAAGGAAACCACAATATATATGGTAGGAAAACTTGACACAGTTTGAGGCTATGCATCAAATGCCTTTGTTTTTCTATAATGTTATAGGCTCTCACCCCTTTCCAAATTCAAGTAGTTATAAAATTTCTTCTGTGGTAATTTTTCATGTAAATATATGAACAAAATATAATATGACCTAGTTCACATAAAAAGAAATAGGAGTTTTCCCAATGAAGGGTTACCAGCACATACTTGACAAGCTAACATTAAGCCCTTAGCTAAAGGAAAAGAGCAGACCTCTGAACACACCACAACCATGCTCTCTCAAGGTCACCCAAGGACCTAGCACATTATCTACTCTGAAAGACAGTTAAAGGGTCAGTTCTTGAATGTCATTTCTTTTTTTTTTTTTTTTTTTTTTTGAGACAGAGTCTCGCTTTCTTGCCCAGGCTAGAGTGAGTGCCGTGGCGTCATCCTAGCTCACAGCAACCTCAAACTCCTGGGCTCAAGCGATCCTCCTGCCTCAGCCTCCCGAGTAGCTGGGACTACAGGCACGAGCCACCATGCCCGGCTGATTTTTATATTATATATATTAGTTGGCCAATTAATTTCTTTCTATTTTTATGGTAGAGATGGGGTCTCGCTCAGGCTGGTTTTGAACTCCTGACCTTGAGCAATCCGCCCGCCTCGGCCTCCCAGAGTGCTAGGATTACAGGCGTGAGCCACTGCGCCTGGCCTTGAATGTCATTTCTTCTAGGAAGACCGAACCAAACTGATGGCCCTGAAATAAGTATATGAGAGCTTCCAGGATAAAAGCATAATGTTCTCTACCTATGAAGTTGCCCATGTGAGAACAAATAAAGATTTGGAGGCAATTTAACATAGTTCAAAGATAAGCCTCTGGAGAGTCAGACTGCTTGGTTCAAGTTCTGGTTCCATCCTTATCAGCCTTGCGACTTTGGGTAAGTTCTTAACCTCTAGGGTCTGGGTTTCCTTATCTATAAAATGGAAATTGCAATAATACCTACTTCAGAGAGTGGTTATGAGGATTAAATAAAATACCATGTAAAGAGCTTAGAATAGTGCTTGGCACACAGTTAATAATCAGATATTAATTTTAGCCTTTTATTAAAAGGACCTTTCCCCTCCATTTACAGTCTACTTAGAACAGTGCCTATAGTCACCAGTGTGCCACTGATAAATAATAAGTAAGCATATTTTGTTTGACTTTTCCATAACATCTAACAATCATTGTCCTCCACATCAAACATCAGCCTGAGTTCTGGAAGTCTGCAAGCAAATTTCCCACCAAGTTCAATGGCCCATATGGTTCCCACATGGCAGTGAGTCATCTTTCTGGATAACATCTCCTTAAGACACTTTCAATTTGCATTTTTTAAGCCCATTTGTATATCTCAATACCGTCTCCTTTCTTCTCTTTGAAAACTAGAAACCATTCTCCCTAGCGTCTGTATTTGCATACTAGTCTAGAATAACCATCCTAAATATGGCTTTAATCTCATCAATTCCTCATTGGAAGGTTGCCCACTGCCTACATTTACACTCCTTAGTTTGGTATTCAAAACCCTCCATAATCTGTTGTTAATCCATCTTTGTACTTTTATTACCTACTGATCCTTGGCTCAGAAATAGAAAATTCACATTTCTACAAGGCCCAACCAAATAACAACGGATTAAAACAGATTCACTGGAGAGAAAGGGCATACACCTCAGGGATTACTACCGTATATGACTACCAATGTTGTCAGATCTAACTCCCAGCCACCTTTTAAAGAAAAATCAGAAATCTGGATTTTGTGTGGAAATGTTGGCACTTAAATTTAGAATACTGTGTGATCCAACCCTACAAAAGCCAAACAAAACATGTCTGCAAACTGCATTAGACCAGCTTTGATCTCAGCCCTAATCCTATCTGGCCCAGTAGGACAGGTTTATTCACAATGTCAATTAAACATGCTAATATGTTCTTACCTCTACCTTCTTTGGTTTTCTAACTTCTTGTTATTGCCTACAGTTTTCATTTGGCAGCTTAGGCATTAAGTGTTCCTACTGAGCTTTGTTAGTTTCTCTGCACATTCTTGAGCAGACTCTTTATGTAAAACTAGACATACACAGCTGCCTGTCTCAAAGGCACCTCAAAGTCAACATGCCCCATGCTGAACTCATCTCCCCCCATTTCATTTAATACTATTTTTTGCCTAACTACCCACAACAAAACCTGACAACCATCTTAGATTACACCATCTCCCTCTCTTCGAATCCAATCCTAATGATGTTACCACCTAAATCTCTCAGACTTGCCTCCTTTGGTCCATGTTCCCCAAAATATTTTAGTTCCAGTCTTATCATTCCTCACCAATCTCTCTCCTCTAACCTATATTCCTGAGGCTACTAGGTTAAGTTCAAAATAAAAAATGTCACTTCTCTGCTTAAGATCCTTTTATGGCTCCCCTATCCCTTAGAGTAAAGCTCAAACTTCTGGTTTGACAGATAAATACTTCTGCTTTGCTAGCACAACCTCACCTCCAGCTGCTTCCTTAAGCACACCGTGCTAGCACTCTGTGGCCAATTGAGCACTGAAATACACCTAGTTTGAATTGAGAGATGCTGCAAGTGTAAAACACAGGATTTAGAAGTCTTAGTGGGGAAAAAGCATGCATGATATCTCAATAATTTTTAAGTATTCATTCATGTTCCAATATTTTGGCCATATTGGTTAAATATTAATAAAATATATCACAAAACTAATTTCATTTGTTTCTTTTTTCTTTAACATGGCTACTAGAAAATTTAAAATTACTTATGTGGCTTGCATTATGCTTAAGAAATCCACTTGTGGCTGCAAAAACAAGACACAGTTGAGGAAGGTGACTTCAAACTGGCTTATTTCTCTAGGCCTTTATCACTCTCCATCAAGTGATATTATACAAAATTGAAAGAGATGGTTTCCAGCTCACTTCTGGAGGAAAATGAATGACCTGATGTAAGGCAGCTGGGATATAATTAATGTGCACTCATTGGCTTTATTTGGAATTTAAATCCAGACCCCAATGTATTGATCCACTTCAGGAAGCACCAAAAGGATCCATTATGAGTTTTCAAGAAACTTTCTTTAGTATTCATAAGACTGAATTTACCATTCTTTTGATGAAACCAAGAACATCTGCTGCCAGATTGGTATTATTATTTTTTTTCTCTTTTTTTTCCCCTCTTTTTTTATTACTTTTTCTTTCTTTTTTCGGTTAAGGAAAAAAGAAAGTTAAGGAGGTTTAAGGAAAGAATGCTATTATTCTTTATTAGTGGTTATTTTTGCCCCATGCTCTCCTTTGTAATCCTTCAAAGGAATAATAAGGTGAAATGTTTGGGGTCTTTTGAAAGAGGGTAAATTGAGTAATTCAAATTATGCTTAAGTGGAAACTTAGTTCGTTAATTATATGAGACATTATTTCATCAGATTTTATTGTTGTTGTTATTTGAATAAAGCAAGCTTCTAATACTCCCTCCCCATCCCCGACCAAAATCTGCAAACTAAAAATGTTTGGTCAGTGAGTGAGGCAATCTGGGGATCCTGGATCTGTGGGTCCTGGAGATCCTTCCTCACCGAGGCAGCAGCACCCAAGAGGACTGGTGTGTTCTCTTTGTAGCCTGGTCCTCCCATAACTGCTGCTGACTGCTTTACAAATTTCTGCCCATTTCTCATCTTCTGGAGACTGGTATGTACTTTAGTTCAGCAGAAAGTATGAATATTGAACAAAACTTTGAGTTCAAGTGGCAACAAAAATAGAAGAAAAAAAAGAATATGGGGCAAAAGTGATATTTCTAACGAGTTGTATGGGTAGAGACATGAAAATGTTGAAGAGATGTTTTCATACTTAACCTAATTTATTTTTTAAACCAATATAAAGCTTATACTAGAGTTCACTGCCTACACAAGGGATACTATTTTTTTTTTTTTTTGTAGAGCAGTCGTTTAAAGTTAACTTTAAAGATAAATTAGACTTTATCTGAAGGTGTAAATTTCTTTTTTTTTTGAGACAGGGTCTCACTTTGTTGCCCAGGCTAGAGTGAGTGCCATGGCGTCAGCCTAGCTCACAGCAACCTCAAACTCCTGGGCTCAAGCAATCCTACTGCCTCAGCCTCCCAAGTAGCTGGGACTATAGGCATGCGCCACCATACCTGGCTAATTTTTTTCTATATATATATTACTTGGCCAGTAAATTTCTTTTTTTTTTGAGACAGAGTCTCACTTTTGTTGCCCAGGCTAGAGTGAGTGCCATGGCATCAGCCTGGCTCACAGCAACCTCAAACTCCTGGGCTCAAGTGATCCTACTGCCTGCCTCAGCCTCCCGAGTAGCTGAGACTACAAGCATGTGCCACCATGCCCAGCTAATTTTTTCTATATATATTAGTTGGCCAATTAATTTCTTTCTATTTATGGTAGAGACAGGGTCTCGCTCTTCCTCAGGCTGGTTTTGAACTCTTGACCTCGAGCAATCCACCCGCCTCGGCCTCCCAGAGTGCTAGGATTACAGGCGTGAGCCACCGTGCCCCGCCAGGAATTAGTCTTTTATTTATATTCTCTAATGTGTGTTTAATCCAAGGCTGCACACTTACAGGGGATTAACAAAACTTTGCTGATTGGCATCTTGCATACTAGCTGCACCTAAAACATTTTTCATCATTTAAGCATCAACAGCTTTCACTGACCACAAAAGATATTTGTTTTACATATTTGGGTTTTGTTTTTTTTTTCAGAGATCCTGTTCTTGCACACTAAAGCCATTTTTAGATTGTGTGAAACCCTATTTATTGTTTTGCTATCCAAAGATAATCAAGAATCACATCCCAAAACATCTGCTCATTTTTTATCTATGAGTGAAAGAAGAGAAACAAAAAGGCAAACTAGTGCAAGTTTTCCCTTCCTTTAGCCACCCCCACTTCAACTAAACGGTGGTATACCTTTCTGTATGTATAACATGTTTCTTC